GGGGGGGGGGGCGGAAGGGAGGGCAGAATGCATCCGGGCGCACCTTGGTATCCAGGTCACTGCGACGCAGGGAGAGGGTCAGGGCATCGATGCCGGAGGCCTCGCGCTCGGCCGACTCAGCCGGCAGGGTGGACATGGTCTTCAGGATGGCGGTCAGATACTTGAGGGCAATGCCATCCTTCACCAGGTAGCCCTTGAGCAGGGCCGACAGGGCGGACACCGGCACGCGCATGGACGAGCAGAGCATGGCAAAGGCGGTCACCAGCTTGGAAATCTGCTCGGGCGTCAGATTGGCCTGGAGACCGATCAGCAGCGAGAGGAGGCGCTCAACAGTCTCCTTGAGGGTGTCCTGCATGTAGCTGAAGAGCACGAGGGGCGCCAGCGGGGGGAGGGGGCAGCAAATGGAGAAGGAGGGGATGGGGGGGAGAGAGAGAGAGAGACGGAGGTCAGCAAGGGCTTGTGTGGAAGGGTGGCCGAGGGCGCGCAGGCGGAGGGGGATATACGCACCGGTAGCGCGCGATGATGGTCAGGAAAATGTCGACCATATGGCGGATCTCCTTATCATCAGCGCAAGCGATCACCGAAAGGGGGCTCTTGCCAATGGCGGGGAACTCGAAGTTACCACCAGCGTCTGCGGCGACAGGGGAGGGAGAGAAAGAGAGAGCGGCGGCGAGAGAGGAAGCCAGGCAAAATGAGTCAGCACATGAGAAGCAAAGCACCCAGGGCGGGGAGGGCGACAGGCAAGGGCACACGTACCGAGGATCCCACCGACAAAGAGAATCTCGAGGAACACCGAGCTGGACTGCTCAAACTGGAGACGGTCCGCATTGGAGTTGAAGGTGCGCATCAGAGCATCCTTGTCGAAGGAAGAGACGGTGACCGACTCAGGCGGGACCGCGCTGACGCAGCCCTTGATGACGCCCAGGAGCAGTTCCTGGAACTGCTCGGGGTCAAAGCGCGCGCGGATGTCCTTTTTGCGACGACGATCACGATGGCCGGCAAGCTGCGAATGAACGGGCGGCAAGTGGAGG